GACAGGTTTCAGCACTTTAAAACGCAAATTCATATTTAGTAACGAATTTTATTCTTGACCGGCATAAAACAACTGCTCAAAAATGGCTCCTTGTTAAATTGAAATTAAAATTTATGCTATGTCCGACGAATTATTTTTTCAAGAAAAACAAATCAGTTTAATCTCGAATGGCTAAAGGTTTCGAAACATGAAAATATATTTTGGAGAAATTCTTTAGCGTGAAGTACTGAGGTCTGAAAGATACATGAAAACAACGAATTCTAGACGTCGGCGAGATCAATCGATTTACATATCGTACTCATCAATTAGCTTGTCGAATTGTCTTTTCACTATCATTTTGTACAAAATCTTAAATAGAAGCATTGACTGAGCCATTTTTCATATGTTTCATTGATAAGCTTTGATTTGGTGGGAATAATTAGTTTTGATTATATTCAATCTTATCAATTTAATACATATAACATATCCATATATTAAAAAGAAGTACTTAAATTATACAAACTATGATTATGCAGTATAAAAAAAAGAAAAATAATAAAAAAAAAGTTAAAAACATCTCTTTATTCTATCGTACACACATTTMTGCATGCGTAATGAGCTCAGAGTGAAATTGGCATTCAAAAGGCTTCCCGATCATCATTGTATCTTGTAAACAGATGTTTCAATCAATGTGAATGCAAGGATGGAAGTCTCCTGCCCTTTAAAAGCCCTTGTAGGTGGAACCTGTGAACCAAAGTACAGTAGTAATTCTACTTGAAGCTTGCCAAAAAGATGTCATATCTCGCAAGCGCATGTTCGAGTTATATCGCTGTTACGGGTCGTAGTAAAGAAAACCACTACACAACTCCTTTCTTGATCATCAAAACTACTTTATTGGTAGCTGATTTGAAGTAGAGAAAGAAGATATGCGTTTATCTTGTACGACTTGTAGAGGGTGGAAAAATGTTATCGGTTTTGGTTAGATATGGTACCCCTGTGCATCTGTGACATCATCTCTATGAGGCCTCAAGATTCTTACCATTCGTCCCGATCGAACCATTGGTAATAGGCTTATACCGGTCGTCTCGAAAGAATTCAATTGKTGAATCATTAACTTATTCTCGTTGCTATGAAACATAGATCTTGTGGATGTTGTTCTTGAGATTTCAAAGTGCTTATTATTCGAAAGATATAAGGCTGTCACACTTGCGACTTTCAGATTCAACTTTTAATCGCCATAGCATTGAAACAGCAAAGAAATATGGGAAAAAATTCACCAATCGTTCCATCGGGACCGTTCGTCATGGATTGAAGGCCTAATTCTCTCGTTCAATCCGAAAGAAAATGGTTTTGTGTAGATGATGGGGAGAAGTGATATCGGTTTTGGTTGGATATGGTATTCCTGTGTATTTGTGCAATCATCTCATTAGGGATCAAAAGTGTTACCATTCGTCCCGATCGATTGGTGAATCATTAACTTATTCTCGTTGCTTTGAAACATACATCTTATGGATGTTGTTCTTGAGATTTCAAAGTGCTTAAGTTATTAATGCTTTTAATTCATTAGGGGGGTTTGATTCATACTAAAAATAGAGTGAACGCACTTAATCCGTGCAACTCAATCCGTACAAAATCTAAGTAGTACTAATTTGTACTAAAAGTGGACCTGAAGCAAGACGGTATTGAAAGCTTATTATTTGTATCAATTCAATTTAATTTGCGTATCGCATGCACGATTTACTAAATACAACTAAATAGCACTATTTAGTTTGCACAGTTGAGAAAGATTAAGTRTGATCACTCTATTATTTCATGATAATATTTTACTAGTAGTATATGCAACCTGTATCCATATTGTTTGGGGTCTTTTCAGACATTGAAATTTCAAACATTAAAAGCGTGCAATTTTTGGCTGACCATTTACTACAAAATAGTGCTAATTAAACAAGAGAAAACAAGAGAACTAGTAATAATATTTGTAAAACTCATGAATAATTAATAAGGAAAACGCAATAGAAATAACAACCGGGAAGAGTGTTGTAACATTTGATACAAAACTGTCTTGATTTGCATAAGCTTCAAATCTAATTTTCTCAGCCAAATTCAATTTTATCTTTAAGTTTAGTTTAGTAGATTATGAATGTATACACCTAAAAGTTTCACAAGTAATTTACAACATTCGCGTCCGTGTTGTATGGACTTTACAATCTCTCGCCTTCGGCTCGAGATTGTAAAATCCCATACAACACGGCCGCTCATGTTGTAAACATTACTTATATTTCACAGTTTTAGTGTTTGTACTCTATAGTAAGCATAACTGGAGAACGTTTTGAGACACTTTGTTTACAAAAGCGGTGGTGCGTAACGGCACGTAAAAAATTGTTTCCGTATGACTAAACTAAATAAGAGCTTGTTTTAACGTTCTTAACTTACAATTCTCTTATTGCAATAAAACATTATTCGAATCGTAAAGAAAATGATAAAAAAAAATTCTGTGCTGTAATGATTTATAGGATATCATAAATAGTTTAAAGTCTAAAATAATCTATGAAATCATTGGAATCACAAGACATGAAAAAGATAATTAGCGTTAATTTATTCACTAACTAATGTGGTCAGTAAAATGCCATTTTTTTGCTAGCTTTATATCATGGAATGTAGTTTTACCATTTTTTGCTATTGTTTCAATGTGGAATTAATAATCAATTATAATGTAATGCAGTACCAATCGTGTAAAGTGATGGTACCTTCGYTTCTTTATTGGAAATTACAGAGATCCCTTTTAATTATAAAATGTTTTCAAAAGTGCTGATGTGTAACGGTAATCAAAAGCAAGCTCTAGAAACTTTTGTGTGACTCAAAGTAAAAGACGGTTTTGAAAAAGTTTCAAAATTTGAAGTATGTATGGCTTATTTTGACTTTGAACTAATGACAAAGCTAATCAGGATATACTATAAATCAGTATACTTTATTCTGTTAATAATAACGTACTTGCGAGTAGTGCCACTAGAATAAACACCCTGAAACGAACAAGCGCTATGGATATAGCATGCATATGTTATATTTGTATATATATGATATTACAGCCTTTTCCAAAAGTTATGAGAATTGTTGAAATATCTAAATATCATAATATCAAGTGCATGATCCAGCGCGATGCCCTTAGTCCCTTGTCTTTGTTGTTTAGTTTTTTTTTTGTGACGGACTTATCCGTAGTTCTGAACATTTTCTCGATGTCAACAATGAATTATTCTAGCAAACCCGCGTGTTCCGGACAATATATGGATATGGATATTATGATATTTAGATATTTAGACAATTCTCATAATTTTTGCAAAAGGCTGTATCATATGAGATAATATTATATAATTTCGTACGCGCGGTAGTAGACAAACACACTTTTGATCTATTCATATATCGTTTTGTGCCATGGAATCTTCATAATATTTACTCTGTCGTCATTAGGTGACTTAGCGTCTCTATTAACGCACGATTAGCCAAATTTATCATTGAATTATTCATGTTTGTCTATAAAGGAAGGAGTTGTTTCCACGTTTATCAGTCAGTTTGGGGACCACGAACGAATTGACATCAAGATGAGGTACAGTCTTCTTTTGCTGCTTGTTTTTGGCTTTGTTGCCTTCACCTTTGCTGACTCTGCAGCTGAGGAGGAAAACGAAGAAGAATCTGATCAAAAGACCATCGAGGAAGATCCCGGTACGTAGAATTAACTCTTAATACTATACCTTAAAAAGTAACAGTGAATTTAATTTACTGTTCTCTGCAGAGAATTTCGAAAACGATTTGCCCAAAGTTGAAAACGAGGAAAATTCCATGAGTAGTAAGACCTTTATATCAACGCGTATCTTGCACTGCTCATTCGAATCTTTGATTATTATCGGGTAGTATACGCTATACTAGCAGCTCCTATAGAGCGTGAAGTAGTGCTATCTATTTGGAAAATTTAGAAGAAGGATATCACTCCTTCCTCTAAATTTCTAGTCTACAGGACATTAGCAAAGAACATTGCTGTGTGAAAATAAACAATTAGAATGCACACTACTTAATTAGTAATAATAATAATTCTTTCCAAAATAGCTAGCCAGACTTCACGCTAAGAGCATCGAGTTAAACTTCAGAATGTTGAAAAACCGTCCTCAAGTCCTGAAATTTTCATTGTTTTCTTTTGTCTAGACGAAATCAATGATGTAATGGACGAGCCTGAAAACGATGAGGCTGAAAGACGAAGGAGAGGTAGGCTATAGTAATGAAGTCTTCATTCCCCCTATTGCCTACGATTACACTTAGAGATTAAGGTCTGTGTAATATCTGAGTGTAATACCTATTGGGGAAAGGGAGACTGTTCTAAGATAAAGGAAAGATGAGGCTGTTACCTTATCAATGGCATGGTTTCAAAGTTGGCTAAGCTTTAGAATACACAGTCATTTTATAATTAATATGAAAATAAGGTAACACCTAATAGCGGAGCTCCAATAGCAATATAGAAGCTGACAATGATTATCTAGTACTAACTGTTATTTCAAAGGTAGATGCTCTGTTCTAAGGAATGTGATCTACAACAGTTTTGTTGACATGCGAACAAATATTATAAAGAGTGTGTTTATGAGAATTTAGTTCGTACTATTATATTGACTTCGGTAGATTTTGTTCCGTTGGATGAAGTTTAAAATTATAATTAAAAGTAAACTGAAAGCTTCTCGGCAAAAAGTAGTCTACATAAGCTTACAATAATCAACATTGTTTCAATAATCGATGTTTGAACCCGAACTACTCGAACTTTACATATCACAGAAAACTGTATACAATTTAAAACTGTATACATATTACCTTCATTATCGAACTTCCGATAAATTATCGTTCAAAGGTCATCTTCAACAGAGCCATACTTGTTTCAAGCATAGGTTTCATCAATTTATTAAGTCATTCAAGACTGTAGATTCTTTGTTTTTAATCTCTCTCAATCTAACTGCTAGCATGGTCTTGGTTTCGAAATGTCCACACTTTTAGTCGACAAAAGAACTTCGCATAGATCCCTGCTTTTTCCCATATTGGTCCATATTATTGAAGTATTTCCAATAAAGTATCATCTCTTTTTGTTGTCGAAATATCAAAGTAAAATCCTTCTTTCTAATATCACTTTTAAGATGGGCCTAAATTGCTTTTCATCTTCGCAAATCGATTTCCCGGATGTGCGGACGCGTCGAAGTTATGACAAAATTGGCGGGAATATTTCTGTGCTGTTATTTCGCTCTTCAGTGGATTTTTTCCTTGTGATTAATTGTTCTAATATTATCAATATGTAATATAAATGTTTAAGGAAAAAATTTCGATTTTTCAACAAATAATTGGCGCTTTGTTTCCTTTTCGAGCGGAGTATGGGTTTCCTGTGGTGGTACACGGAATCCAGGACGGAAACGTACGTACGCGCGGGAACCCTGTGTCGGTCCATGGAAAATCGACTCGATGGTATACCATTTTTTCTTAGCTATGGTGCTCCGCTCGCGCGGGCCTTCGGCCCGCGCGGGAGCTCCGCTAT